TACAAAGCTTTATGTCCGTGACCAGACAAAGAGGACAAAGTATGCGTTCATTAACCGCGAAATTCAGGAGCACTCAGGTATTGCGGCGGCCCTCAGCCAATTTGCGGCAGTGTATCCACCAGGCAGTCAAGTGGTTGCCCTTGCCGCCATTGAGCCGGTAGCAATCCATCACGCGCTGCTAGAATTAGCAGAAGAGGAACGGCAGCAGAGAGAAGCGTGGCGCTTCCTCACTTCGCATAGCCTGCAGGGTCAACTGTATTATTTTAGAGTGATCAAAGTGGAGATGCTGGCGTTGCCGCTGCCAGTGGAGTTGATTGCTTCCCAACACAAGAAACAGCTTTTTGGTGTTGTAGACGAGTCTTGGAGCAGGCATGCCTTTGCAAGCTTGAAGTTATCAGCAGCAGAAGTGAATTGGTGGAGGCAGGTGCACGGTTCCTTGCAGGACCCTTGCATCCTGCTTCGTTTGCCTGCAGCGATTCTGACTCTGATAACCAACGGCGACTGGACTCGCCTTGCTGTGCCGGACCTTAGCCAGGATTTCACGTTTCGTGCAGGTTGGGATGTCTTTGCAGGAGAGCCGAATATCAGAGCACAGTTTTCGTTGCTTCAGCCCAGTTCTCTTAGACCGATTCTTGCAGAGCGTGAGTCTGATGAGCAGCGTGTTGTAGATGATGGTGCCGGGGATGCAAACCGTTTCATGCTGAGCAGTGCAGCGGGGCAGGTTAATTTGCAGGACTTGCTGCGAACCGTGGCAGGGTCTCTGACGGGTTGCCAGCCATGTGATCAGTTGCAGCGAGAGCGCTTGCTGCGTGACTTGCTTGCAGCCGCTGAGGCAGTGGAGCTTGCGCGGGATAACCGCATGATCTTTGAACGCCTTCACTTATCAAGATTGTTTTGCCAGCGGTACAACATAGCATCTCTGTTGCGTTTCTTTTTCATTTCAGGCTTGCTGCGAAATGATACCGACATGCGAGAAGTCATCGAGTTGTGCGTTACAGTAGCTCTTCCCAAGGATGTTGCAGACAGTGCATTGGCTTTTCTGCGCGGATTGACTGGTTCAGACTTTCGGGTTCCAAGTGCAGCAACTATTTCGAGAACACGTTTCCGGGTGGACACAGCTTGGATGATACTGTTTCGTGAGCAGCTGCAGAAGATGCTAAACAATGGTGGTGTGCGACTGTATGTTCAAACGGATGCTACCGCGCAAGCAGGACGGCAGTACCAGATCACTTTGATCAACATCGTGCGGGCCGGCGAGCTCGACCAACTGCACAAGGACCGACTTTTTGCAGCTTGAGTTGCAGTGCTGACTGTTGCGTTGCAGTGCTGACTGTTGCGAGCGTCTAGTTCTGTTCTGTGTGCAGTGCAGATTGACAGTATGTTTTGCGGAGTGTGCACGGAATGCTGTGTCAATGTGCTGCAGCCGTGTGAAGATCAGAGTGATGAAGTGCTGGAGCTGGCGGCCACATCCAGCTCGTACAGCTACAGCACGAGCACATCGGGCAGTGGCAGCGAGTCTGACTCGTGCAAGAAGAAGGAGAAGAAGGAGAAGAAAGAAGAGAAGAAGATGTGCGAGTCCAGTGAGTCAGAGGAGCGTGTGGAGCCGGAAAATTTCAAGGCCATGAAGGCCAGCCCGCACTACATGGAGATCGATGCTGAGGAAGAGGAGGAGCCGGAGCCACCGAAGGTTGTCCTCTCGGAAGCACCAAGAGTGGCCGGCGATCGCAACAAGGCCCCGCCTGAAGGTGCTCCTGAGAAAGTGCCGTGTGTGTATTGCGGAAAGTACATCTCCGATACGCCGAACGCAAGGTGGCAACACGAGGTCTACGGCACCTGCAAGAAGCGGCGAGTTGCCCATGCTCGTGACTGGGAGAAGGGAGAGGAGGCAGGCACCAGCAGCGCCGGACACAAGGATGATCCATGGGCTTCCCGTCATGGCGGCGGGGAGAAGCCGAAAGGATGGCAGGCACATCGCGGCTCTTCGCAGCGCAGTCGCAGCCCTCTCCTTCGTCGTGCTCGCCCCACTCCGCCGCCAGGGCCACCGCCAGCTACTTTGACTCCGACTGCAAAGGCCCAGGCCAGTCGAGGCAGTGGCAGTCGTGGCAGCCAGGATGTGAACGACGTGCTTGCCAACTTCATGATGTCTATGGGCCAGGTGCTGAAGCTGGGATCGGACGTCCCCCCTCCGTGATTCGGGCCGGGACCACATAGATGTGCCGTATGATGTGCCTCGGTGCCTCGACAGCTTTTTTCAGCGCCGAGCTTGAAGCTCCGAGCTTGTGCAATGTTGGTGAATAAAACCGCTTACAAGTACTCAACCAGTCTGCTTTGATAGGAGGCACATGCTTGGTGCGCATTGGGCGGTTTGGTACTGCTGCACTTTGGAGCGCTTGATGTGCAGAAAAGGCCGTAACACCCACGTCCGTAGTTGCTCAGGCTAGGGCTGTTAGGATGTCTCTGTGTGCGTGTTGAGCAAGACTCCTTTATCTGCCGAGATTTGTTCATGCAGTGATGCTCGTTGGTGTCTGTGCCACTGTCTCTGTCTGCAGGACTTTCTGGTGCTGGACAGCTATGTTGCCTTGAGCCCGGAGCGCCGGATTGCACAGTGGGAGGATGAAAGACAGGTCATGCGCTCCATAGACAGCAGGATCATGTGGCATGTTGCCCCGCCTGCTATGCTAGGGAATGCAAGAACCAATCTCCCAGCTAAGTTGCGAGTGTTCGTGCACACACTTGGGCTGTTGTCAGCAGATCGAGAGATGCTTGCGAAGCTGCTTAGAAGCATCACTTCTGTGCATACAGATTATGGAGTAGAGTCTTTGTTGCCGCGGGTTGCAGTGTGTCCGCTGGATGACATCCTTCCGTACATGCATGCCCGTTGCAATCCATCAGCAGCAGCAACGGACAATCCAGAGCTGTTCATTCAAGATACAGTTCACGAGGCATGCCAGGATGACCCAAATTTGTTTCTTGTCCAAGAGGTTGAAGAGAGCTCGAACCCTGGCCCAAACATCGACGACTGTGATCTGACACGCAGTTTGCAGGGACCTGACTTGAACCATGTCATACATAACATCACAAGCGGTCTGGGGGACGTCATGGCCATGTACAAGAGCTTTTTGATTGGCTTGAAGCGTGTTTGCAGGCTCCTCTCAGGCAAAGAGTCCAAACAGCAGCTCCTGGAAACCTGCTTCAGCTCAGGCTTCGCAGTAGGCTTCAGGGAAGAGGTGGCCGCTTTCCAGTGCAAGGTGCATGAGAAGCGTTGGAACACAATTGCACATGCCGTGAGATGCCTGCGTGTACTAGAGCCAGCACTGCGTACATGTTGGGATATCCACACATTCTTGAGGGGTCGGGCCGTGCCTCTGCCAAAAGAAGATCGCGGGGGTGATGAGCATGGTGTGCATCTGCAGGGCGCAGATGAAGCCCTTGTGAGTGATCATTGGTGGTCTTGCTTGGCAGTCATGCTGGAGATAGCAGAGGTTCAGGCATCAGCCACTGATTATGTAAATGGTTGTGAGTGCCATTCTCATCTGCTGGAAGAGGAGGAGGCAGGTGCGGACGTGAAGGCCGCTTGGC